GCGTGTCAAGACTAAAATTATCCGTTGTATAATCGTATATGTAATTGTTCTTATAATTTATATTAATTTATAAATTTAGAGGATTAGAAAAAAAAAATTGGTAACGATGGTTCACATAGTCACATATCACTCACACAAGTGGTCTATTTATTTTGGCTTTTTTCATATAAACAACTAAGCGAGAAAAAAAAAGAAAAAGTTATATATCGTTTATTCCCTCGTTTACAGACAAAATGTAACGTCTCTCTTAATATTTCATTAAAATAAGTTTTTTAAAAAAATCATTAAAATACATAATACTACAGATTTCGTTTTCTTTAATTTTAACAATGTTGATTTTTATTTGTTTTTTGTAAAGAGCAGAATCTCCCTCTCTCACACACATGCAAATACAACACATTAATCACATTCACGTGCTACGCGCCATGGAGCGCGTCGTTTAGATTGCCAAAAAAGAAAGATTTTCAATTCAAATCGTATTTCTATAAATGGTAAAAGACGTATATTAATCCATTAAGACATTAATCACATTCACGCGGTGTTAACTGTATATAAAACCAATTCATAAGTAGTAGTATTTTTTTTTTACTCTAGTGCAATTGATTTAGGAATAGTGATACATTAAAAAATGAAAATGGAATACTATGAGAATAGCTTAATTTTACATCAAGATATATATGTATCATGTATGCTATATTTTTAATTAAAAAAATAAATAAATCTAGACCTTAAATTATAAATCTTGAAATCTAAATCATAAGATATATAAATAAATAAAACCATAAATTATAAACCACGCCCCTAAATCTTTAACGATAAAATCTAGCCAAATGGTATTTTTCTTATATTTGATTTCGTAGATATCCCATGAAATCAATAGATTTATGGAAAATTGATATTTTTCTCGATAAAAAAGAATATTTACTATGTACGTAGGTGGGGAGATATATGGAAAAACTCACTCGTATCGTCCTCCTCAATATATAAAACCATATTCATCCACAAGATTTACACATGCAACCAAAAACTAAACTAAAAAATCAATATATACTTATTTCGTGAAAATCCCAATAAACTTTCGTTCTCTATTTTTTTTTGTTCGTTCTTTCTCCGGCGAGTCATGGCGAACGATCGGTTGTGGTCGTCGAAGCTATCATCAAAAGCAAAACACACGAATCTCTACCGTTTAATTCTAATCGCAATCCTCTGCGCCGCCGCATACCTCGCCGGAACATGGAAAAACGCCAGTGGAGCAACCTCGCGCGCCTCCGTACATCGTATCACTTCCGTGCCTTGCACGTTTCCTCACAAAACCACACCCGTCCTCGAATTTGCTTCTCGTCACACATCCCCCGACCCACCTCCGTCGCCCACGACGGCGCGTGAGGCTCAAATCCCATCTTGCGGCGTGGACTTCTCGGAGTATACACCGTGTGAGTTCGTGAACCGGTCTTTAAGTTTCCCAAGAGAGAGATTGATATACAGAGAGAGACACTGTCCTGAACAGGAGGTGATACTCCGATGCCGGATTCCAGCTCCGTACGGTTACATGATACCTTTCCGGTGGCCGGAAAGCCGTGACGTGGCGTGGTTTGCTAACGTGCCGCATACGGAATTAACGGTGGAGAAGAAGAATCAGAATTGGGTGAGATACGAGAAGGATAGGTTTTTGTTTCCTGGTGGTGGTACGATGTTTCCACGTGGAGCTGATGCTTACATTGACGACATCGGACGGTTGATAAATCTCAGAGATGGATCAATTCGGACAGCCATTGATACTGGATGTGGGGTATGTTAAAACGTTACTCAAAACTC